TCTAATATTTCTTCATCATTTCCTTCGGAAGGACTTTTCTGATACAGAAGAACAATCAATTTGTTACAAACAGACTTGGTTCACAATCTGTTGACCATGCTCTTTTTTAAAACAAAACAAAAAATTGTTTTTTTTTCAATTTCAAATCAGGGTTAAAGACTGGTCTTCAATTTTCCCGGTAAAATTACTTAATATTAATATTAATATTAAAGGAAAAAGATCGCCAATTTTGCCGGTAAAAGCCGGCAGGATCCTTAACCCTGATTTCAATTATTTTTCTCTGTGAATCGGGGAAATGGAAGCCTGAGTATTAGAAGCCCATGGTGCCGCTTATGACTTATCGGAAAAGATGAGTGCATGGTTATGTGGTTTTGTAAGTTTTTATAGTGAAGCATTTTTTTAAATGTTATCTAACAAAAATTAAATAGCAATTATTAAGGACTTGCGATTTGATTAGTTTGATTTTTTCCCCGAGAGTAGGTGAATTGGTGATGTTCAAACACAAGATGGAATTATTTACCTTGTTTTTTTTTTATGGTCAAGGATTACGTTTTCAATAGAGTCCTATATGACTAAATTTGAACCTGATTTTGTTGCAGTATTTTGAGTTTGGACTACCATTTTGACTTTTTACTCGGTTAACTCTTGAATAACTCTTGAATAATTAAATTTTTCCTGTTTAATTAATTCAGGTTTTTGTTTCTCTAACCCTTTAATTTTATTCTAAAGTTCTGAATATGTTTTTGCTGTTCAAGGTTATTTTGTTTAAATATTTTAATTGCTGTTTTAATTGAACAATATCATTTTCTAGTTGCTGATTATTTGCTTTGCTCTTCTCGTTTGCTTTTTTTATCCTTTAACTTTTGATATTGCTGATCCTTAAAGTTAGCAGTGTATGAATAAGCGAACAAACGCGCCACTTGGTGTTGTGATGTGCGGAGGAATTCATGCTCGTTCAATCTGACAATACTTAAAACGCTCGAATCCTTACGCGTAGCATAAACTTCTATCGCGTCACCTATAAAAAATTTTTTACTGAACAGTGTTAGAAAAAATGTAATTCACAGATTTAGTAGGTAACAGTATATATATATATATATATATATATATATATAACTGTTACCTAATTAATGTAGACAATACAAAAATTGACCATGAAAATTATCA